CCCCAAAACCCCAAAACCCCAAAACCCCAAAACCCCAAAACCCCAAAACCCCAAAAATTTAGTGGGATTTGAAATTGATCGAAATTCTTAATTCAATAAGTTTCTGATATTAATGGCAAATAAACTTTTACACAAACTAAGTTTGAGAAATCTTACTAAAATTACAATTTGATAAAAAAACATCCTAAAATAATGTGCCCTATTGATGCCATATGGCATTGCTCGGCTGAATGGCTTTGAAGGAGTAATTTAGATATAGAAATTTATTAATCCTCAAATTTATTTCATAGTATGATCATGCAGAAGGTCAAACACTCCAGTACCAATCTTTGGAATCTGCCCGAGAACAATCGAAGCTGATGGAGTTGTGTTATCGTCAAGATCTTGCTTTGTACAAGCATCTGACAAGAAAGAAGTACTTGTCTCGAAACTGGCCTTTAAGAATGGGGAGTTGCTATCCTGCATTCCGATTCTGTTAAATGGTCTATAATTTCCTTGCTGGGTCATGAAATCTGCAACCAGACTGAGATGTCTATAATCAACTTCGATACCATAAACATCGAACACACTCTTAATTTCTTTAACAATACTGTATCTTCCAGCTTCAATTCCATAATGCTTGATCATTTGGTTAATATCATTAGTTTCTAGCCTGCTAAGGTCAAAGACATCACTGTTGGAGTAACACTCATCAAAGTTGATTCCTTCAGTCATGATGACCTTCTCCTTGATGGTTCCACTCTTGATTTTTCTTTCAACAACATAACTCTTGTTTATACCTTTAACACTCCTAATAAGTACTTTCTGCAGGATTGCTTCTATAAGACTCAGCATCAAGATCTTGCTGAGCCTAGACTTGCTGTCCATAGCTAAATGAAGAATGATATGGATCTTAGCTCTCTTAGGCTCAGGTTCACTTTCTTGTTTAATAAAGTTAAAATGCTGCAAGTAAGGCCTGAAATTGCTCAATTTGGACAGATCAATTTTGGAAGATTTAGGTTTGGACTCTGATATCTCTTCAAGCCCTTCGATCTCCATGTTCTGATCAGCAAATTGGTGTCCACTTTTCTCACTTGCCTCACTAGCACTTGCTTCTTCATTGACATCTTCATCGTATCCCTCAACTTGGGTAGTTTTCTTCTTCAGCTTCTCAGCCTCGATGCCTTCAGTATCTCCGAGCTGGTCGATTTCACTGCCATTATCACTGGCCTTCTTCTTGTCATCATCCTGGTATTCTTCGAGGACTTCTTCGTCTTCCATCTGCTCTTTCTCTTTCATGTGCTTGCTCTTGGTGTCTATTGATTAGTAATGACTAAACTTACCTTTGACTGCCATGGTGTCTTCAATTCCTCTCTTGGTCTGCTTCTGGATATTCTTGATCAGCAATGGCAAAAATTTGCTGGTGAACACTTTGGTCAAGTCTGTCTTTGTCACTCCGAAAGTCTCTTTGATCTTTTCAAGGTCTTCGAATTCGAAGAATACCTCGTATTTGGAGATCACATTGCTCTTACCTTTGAGAATGTAATCACGGCTGACTTTCACGTTGTTGATTACTTCTGAAAGTTGTAGTTTTTGGAACTTGTTAGCGAAATTACTGATTTCTTCATCAGTGAATTCCTTGTCTCCTCTCAATGGCAACACCATCAACGGAGTTTTGAGATTCTCACTAGCAGTCATTAAGATTTCTCTCAATCTCGGAATTCCGAGGGTCACATTTGCTCCACCGTGACCTGCAAGATGGAACGTGTTCAAAGTCATTTGTGTTGATGGCTCACCAATACCTTGCCCAGCCAGAGTTCCAACATTCTCTCCTGGGGCTACCAAACTCTTCAGATATTTCAAGTAGTAGAGTTTCTCTATTGTTGAAGTTTTCATTCTATTTGCTCCTGTTTTGACTATAGATGGATCTCTTGACTCCTTTTTGTATTTCTTGCAGAAAGTTTTCAGATCAGAATACATTTTCTCTGAAGTAGAGCCTAGGTATTTGGCTGGGTTGTAGATAGATAAAATAGGATCATCATCAACTACATCTCCTTGTTGCTTTTTAGCTTTCTGTTCTTTCCTGACTTTCTGAACAGTCTTTGTGTCGAGGCTTGCCATGAAGTTGTCAGAGTAATATTTCTTCAACAGAGCAGCATGATTCTGCTCCATGAAATCGAACTTATTAAGATAAAGCATCTCGGTCACATCAATACTGTCCTCTCCGTACAAGAACTGGACGACACTTCCATCGTTATCCCTGACTGTCATATCGTAGCTGACTACGAGACTTTCGAGTTGCTTTATCAAACATCTTTGGAGGTATCCACTTCTCGCAGTTTTGACAGCAGTATCAATAAGTCCTTCTCTGCCAGCCATACAATGGAAGTAGAAGTCTTGAGGTCTCAGTCCAGTGATAAATCTGTCACTAATATACCCTGAAGACCTTGGGTCTGGGTCGAAAGCAGAAAATGAAGGAAGAGTTTTACCGTTTGGCATTCTTGGGACTCTCTTTCCTTCCAGAGCTTGTTGACCAAGCAAACAAGCGATCTGGGATCTGTTGATTTTACCTCCTTTAGCACCAGTCAGGACCATTGCACTCATGTTATTTCTTGGGAAGCTCTTGATCAAACCTGAAGGCAGGCATTTGTCAATAACAGTTGTTGTAGCCTCGTTCATTTCAGATTGTACTACAGTATCAAACTCCTTTTCAATGTGCAATCCTTCATTGACAAATCTTTTCTGAATGAAAAGTTTGATTTCTTGCATGACTCTCTTTTCTTCTCTTTCATCAATCAGTTCTTCGTCATCGGAGTTTGGGTCTTTAGTTTCTTCTTTTCCGCTGGAGTAGTCAATTTTGATACCACAGAATTCAGCTCCTGCTTGGATACCCCTTTTGTGAGCTTTCTTGAGAATTCTGTCTCTCTGCTTATTAGATTCTTTGCTGAGTAGTCCATCATCAAGGCCACAAGTGAAGCCGTGATATTGTAAATGAGCTACTAAAAGTCTTCCTAAGGCAGTCAGCAGTTGTCCAGCTCTCTCAGATCCATATAGTTCGTAGAATGAATGGATCATTCCGAACTTGGAATCACCAAGTTGGTTCTTATCCAAAACTCCTTGTAACAGTTCATTGTTTCGGATGACAACTTGTCCTTCATCCTTTCCTAATGCTCCCCAGTTGCTACCATCCAATCTGGCTTTAGAAGTCAGGTTGAGTCCCATTTTAAGGGACTTGGGCTTTCCACTTTCATGGTATTCTCTTTCATCGAAACTGAGGTTCTTTAAGATAGTTGTGACAACTTGTTTGCCAGTCCATAATGGTCCATTAGGACTTCTGAAAATGCAAGGATGCTCTAAATGAATTTTCGTAATCACTTTGTCTTGCAAGAACTCATTTAAGGAAGAGAACACCAGCTGGTTGTACTCTTCTTTACTGAAGAATGAGTCTTTGCTTGTAAGGAAAACACTTGACACAATGAAATCTTGGATCAATCCTCTGATTGGAGCTCCACTAGTTGGGACAATGTACTGCTTATGTGTTGCAGCAAGTTCATATGCTTCTGCAATTGCAGTGTAGTTTTGAGGCAAGTGGATATTCATTTCATCACCATCAAAGTCAGCATTATAAGATTTACAATTAGAGTAGTGCATCCTGATTGTTTGTTCCTTTGGCAGGACTCGAGCAATGTGGGCCATGATGGATGGCTTATGAAGTGTCGGCTGTCTGTTTACCAACAATGGGTCTCCAGTTTCAAGATGTCTATAAACAGTCTTTCCACCACTTCCAAGTAAAGCTGCTTCTGCTCTTCTCTCGACCAGAGTCATGTGCTGCAAAGCTTTCTTTTCACCATTTGGATATTCAACAAAATTAGCACCAGGGTATTTGTATGCTCCATTTATAACCATCTGCTTTAATTTTTCTAAATTTCTAACACTTTCTGGGAATGTAAGAGTTCTTGCAATGAACTCTGGGACTCCAATCTGGTCAGTGGAGATATAAGGATCTGGAGAAATCACACTTCTTCCTGCATAATTAACACGTTTACCCATCATTTTCATTCTGAAAACTCCTTCTTTCCTTTCAAGTAGTTGTCTGAGTCCTGGCTTTTCTCTATTCTCAGTTCTAGAAGCAAGCGAAGAGTCAAGATATCAATTGATAGCGTCTTGAAGGTCAATCCATCATTTGATCACATCTTTAGAGGTGTACTCTGCTCTTTCAACCTCAGTAGATTGGGCTCGTGATCTATGGCTTTCAGACTTATCATCAACACCCAAGTGTTCTTTCTTCTCGATGATCTGTCTCAGAAGCATGTTGGTCTTGAGAATTCTGTTCAGCATTGCTGAGTGTGCATGTAGGAATTCTCCTCCAGATCCTCCTTTGCCACTTGAAGACTCAGGTCTGAACCTATTAGGACTCACAATGATATTGTTCAAGAAGAAGATGCTCCATTGCCCAAAGATTGGAGGAAGTAGAGTGTCTTCCGCCTCCCAGAGCCTCTTCATGTGCTCTCTAATTTCGAGTGGGTTCAGATATTTCATTTTTCTTTCTGAAACTTCATCCTCTTTATTTTGTTCCTGCTCCTTGCTCTCTTCCTCTTCTTCGTCTTCATCCTCGTCGAAAGCTTCGATGGTGTTGAGTTCAGCCTTGCTGAGAGCACTCTTCATGCTCTTAAGGTCCTTCTGGGAGAGAGGCATCTGAAAGAACTTGGTAGCCCCATCCTTCCTGACTCTTGGGTTTTTGGCTTCGCAGTGAGGGCACTTCGAAGGAATAACAGTCGCTAAAATTTCCTTTATCAGTCTTCTTAGAGCTTTAGTAGTGCTAGTGTTCGTTGCGGATTGACAAGAGTTGTCCTTGATAATGCCTTTGATATGATCAAAGAAGGCTTTTCTCTTGGCCTTCTCTACTTCACTTAGCTCTTCAAATGCAGTCAAGGCTTTCTCGTTATCTTCATTCATGGGAGTTGCTGTCTCTTTTTGATCTTCTTTGTCCTTTCCCTTTTTGAGCATTTTCCTGCGAATCAGTCTGATAACTGATTCTACAGACTCGATTCCGAAGTCGGTGTAAGAAGCAAGCTGAGCAGCCTCAGTAAGGTAGCCAAGCTTGATAAGCTGTAGCCTGATTTCGAATAGCTCTACCCTCTTTGGGAAAATTCTAATTCTATGTCAGGTAAAGCACTTTGATTTCAATAGTTTGTGCAGCAATTTAATAGTGAATGGGTTAAAGCAGGTAGAGATAAGCCTGATGTGTCCAATATGGCCAGGACAATGGATAACATCACATCCACAAGTCTTACACACAGAAATTCTATCCATGGCAGACACACCCAATGCTTCATCGACAACACCACCAGAGACAGGGTTGCCATATTCATCATGAGCTTGAGGATCACTAATTTCTTTTACACTTATTTTCTTAATCTCTTCGTCAGTGTAGAAACTGAAGCGAGTGCCATCAAGTCTAGCGTTGATTAGGGAGTCAAACAGAGATGACATTTTATTTTGCGTGTTTAATTATTATTAAAATTTACTAAACCCAATATCTTTCAGAGTCTATGGGGTTTTGGGGTTTTGGGGTTTTGGGGTTTTGGGG